ACAACTAGACTGAAGAACAAAAAGGACAGCAACTTGTCTGTTCCCCTTCCCCCAATTCCCCAGCACTGTTCCCATCCCCCCAATACCCCAATAAAAAAATCTTAAAAAAAAATAAGGTTTGAGGCCCTATGGTCTAACAGCTGGGGACCCTAGCTTCAGAGCCAGCACACTGTGGCCTGGGCATGTCTTGGTTCTGTCCGTGTGTGGCATATCCATGTCCCCAGGCCTGCGCCTCAGCAGGGTGCAGAGTTCCCATGAACCGTGTCCAGCCTTTGACACCTACAGGGGATGCAGCTGGGATAAGTCAGGAAAGGATTTGGCTTGGGGTATGTTTTCCTACAACCCTTCAGTGTAGGAGGGGTTGACATTCTGGAAATTCACTTCAACTCAAATAGCGAAGCCATCCCAGAACGGTGACTCTGGATGGGGAAGCTCCTCACTTCTCCAGCGCCACCCCCGCCCCCCGCCCCCTTCCTTCCGCTCTTCCTTGCAAACCCTCCAGCGTATCTCCCTACTTTTCCCAGATCTCCTTCCCTCCTTTTCAGGCCATGCCCGTTAGCAGACCTTGCCCTGCCTGGAGAGGTGGTTAAGTGTTTGAGGTTCAAAAGGATTCTCTGCCTGCAAAGTCAACACAAGTGAGCAGTTAGGGAAGCACTAATTAAGGAGATTAGACGCTAACTCTGAAAGCAGTAGTGCCCGCAGAGCCCGCAGAGCCGTGCTTGAGATTCAAGTGGGGCTCAGCGCTGTCAGCAAGCTCTAGAGTTCCCCTGGGAAGAGCAGAGCCTATGGTTCTCAGTACTTGGAGCCCCCACAAGGAGGACACTGAAAGAACAATTACTCCTCTTAGGCTACCTTCTGTTCCCTAGAGGAAGTTGCTGCTGCCTGCAGTGACTGTAGTTGTAAGGAGTTGATGGGAGGCAGCAGCCCCCTTTTCCAGGTAGCCCTCCAGAAGGCACCAGACACATCTTTTCCCCTTCCTTCCTCATTCACTCGTCTACACTCCAGGCTTTGGTTGTGCCACATGGGGAGATGGTCCTCATCATTCTGCCCAGTTGGCGGTGTGGAATACTGTCGTTTTTGCACAATTTTCTCAGCCTTTACTCCCAGGACAAGAGCTGTAGGTCTGGTGGCAGGGCCCAGGTCTCAGCTCATGCTTGTGTGCTCACTGGCCTAGAGCAAGAGTGACCATGAAAATCTGTGGTTTGTGTGTTTGTTTGGCTTCTTTGCCCAATCTTTCTTGCCTTTTCTTTTTTTAAAGAGAAACAAATTCCTGATGATAAAAACAACCCATGAGTGAAGAAATCGGAAAGCATCCGTAATCCCAGCACTCAGAGCTAACCACTGATTCACAGCCTGCCAGACGTGGTTCTGTGCACACGCATCCACCTTTGGCGTAAAGAAATTATACGCGCTTTCCTTTTTTTTTTCTTGCAGCCTACTTTTTTTTTAACTTAACAGATTCGTGGATATCTCTTCAATAAATACAGGCCTGTCTCACCTGTGTGGATGGCTGCATAGTGTCCTGTTTTATATTTGAGCCACCGTTTATATAACTCACCCCCTATTGTTGAACCTGGAGTTTTTCCCCCCGACTTTTCCCCATTATGTATGCCACTACAATAAATACCTTCCTAAGTAAATATTTATAAACATCTTTTTCTTTTTCTTAGAATGAAATAAGGAATGGAATTGAAGAGTCAGAGGACTGGCTCACTTGTTAAGATTGTGTAGGCCAAATGTCAGTTCACCCTTCCCCCAGCATCACAGAAACATGGTGGGCACCCGACTGGCACTGATGGGGGACTTGCGAGCAGATGAGTGGCCCAGGGTCTGGGAAGTGACTCAGCCCATGGACTCGGTCTCCCCTGCCGGCCACCTGCTCTTTACTGCCCTGAGAAGGAAGCAGCCCCCAGAGGGACACTGGGTCCTGGACTCGCCTTTCAAGGCGGGTGGCACTGGAGTCTCTCTGGAACGTGCCTGGGCCAGCCTTGGCCTTGGCAACTGCGCAGGCATTTCGAGGTGCCCAGAAAGATGGCTTGTGTGGCTGGGATGGAAAGGATAAGAATGACCCTGGGTCACGCCCGCCATCCTCTGTGCTGCAGGAGGCCTCAGTGGGGCGACGGTCATCGACTCCCTTGACACCCTCTACCTCATGGAGCTGAAGGAGGAATTCCAGGAGGCCAAGGCCTGGGTCGAAGAGAACTTCCACCTGAACGTGGTGAGTTAGAGCCCCCCGACGTGTTAGGACCACGCAGCCCCGAGAGGTCAGTGGCCAGTGCCAGCTTGTCAGCTCCGAGACCCAGAGGCGTGGAGGCTCTGGCCCCAGGCCGCACAGCAGAGCAGTTCTGGACCTGGGGCTCCAAGCACTCGGTGCCAAGTCCCCTCCCCTAAAACCAGCCTTAAGGTGAGGGGCGTCCCCCACCCTGGCCTGCCCATGAGTATTTACCAGCCTGTCCCCCTCCCCTGGGAGGAAAAACAGCCATGGCCATTCCTTGCCCTCCCTGGGGTGCCAGACACGTTGCTCACACCCTGAAAGTCCCTTCTCAGACAGAATCTGTTGGGGAAGTGACTCTGTCTGCTCGGAGCTGCTCTAACCCGGAGCCCCCCTGTGCTGCCCTTTGGAGATAGGTGAGGGGGGTGGGAGACCTTCTGGTCAGAGGCCCGTGACCAAGTCCGGACTCTCTTGGTTTTCAGGTTTCCAGCCTCGCAGGCATCCCTGGTCAGGAACCAGAGCCTTGGGGAAGGGATGGGAATGTGTCTGGAAGGCACAAAAGCCTTAAATCCCAGACCCCACCCCCAGTGACCTCCCAGCCCAGACTAAAGTCACCGACTTACTCTGAAGGCCTCAGCTCAGCATGGGGAGAGGCTGTTCAGGTGGATTTGGGGAGCAAGAAATGGAGACAGATAGGGGGGTGAGGAGTTACATCAAAACACACTGTAGGGCTCCATCTGGGGCTCCACGAGTGACAGGTCCCGAGAGGAATGGGGACGGCTCCTGCAGCTCATGGCAGAAGTGAGGCCAGTATGAGCACAGAGCAGGGCAGAGAGATGGAGCGCTTCCGTGACTCTGGTATGTAGCCGGGGAAAAGCCACTTAACCTCCCTGAGCCTTAGTTTCTCCAGCTCCACGAGGGGAACGACACAACAGCAGCAGTAATGATCCCTAATTCACAGGCTTGTGAGCATTATCATCGGAGGTCGTAAGAGCATTTTATGCCACCATAAAGCCCGATGCAGATGTAAATGTGCCGTTATCATCATCACGATGACTTGGAGGCTTGTTATGACTTCGGTGGTCTGTGAGGAGGAAGTTTAGAGTCCCAATTCCTACTGTATCCATCGGGAGAAAGGCTGAGGCTGGAGCAGGGACCTGTCTTCACAGACACCTCCCCCCCCCCGCCCTTGTCCCTGTGCGGATGGTAGGTACAGAGTGGGCATCAGGCAGCTGCCCAAGGTGCCTGGCGGTGGCAGGGCCAGGGGAGCCTGGGGACACTCGGGCAGGCTGGGGCAGGTTAGGGAGTGTCCCTGGAAGAACGCAAGATGGGGTCGCTTCCCCTTTCTGAGCCTTGGCTTTCATATCTGAAACATGGGAACGATGACCTCACCAAGCACTCTAAGGCTAAAAGAGAATGGCTTTGCAAGTGCTCTGTCAAGGGGAAAGTTCTCCCAGATAAAGGGATGATCACTGTTCTTATCAGTGATAAAAAACCAGGACATGGGAGTGTGCCAAGGAGAGCCCTGGGGCAGAGGATGCAATAACAGGCACCTTTCTGAAGCCACCCCGGGCGCTGGGCACTCACCTCACCTGTACCCTCAGCATCTCAGATCTGCCCTGCTCGGGATAAAGAGACTCAGGCAGGAAAAAGTTAAACATCTTGCCCGAAGTCCCAAAGCCAAGAAGTGGCTCAGGTGGGATTTTTACCTAGATCTGGTCCTTGGCATGAAGCCCTAACAACCCTGATTTGCAGACCAGACTTCAAAAAGAAAATAAAAAGGATTAAGGCAAGGGTGGCCGTGCCCCGAGGGCTACAGAGCTGAAGGCAGAGAAATTGCCAGTTACCAAAAGTATCTGCTTGGCTCCCCTTCCTGTCAACCCTAGCCCTGCCCTGTCTGCCCCAGAACCTCCTCTGAGAAACGTTCTCTGGCCCTGTCACACCAAGGAAGGGCCACACCACCCTCCTGCTGAGCCGAGGGGGTGCTGCTGAGAAGGGCAGGTGGCTGCATAGAGGAAGATTTGCCTCCCCTTGGGCTAAGCTTCAGCCAGCAGTTCCTCACCCGGTTCTCAAACTCCCTGGAGAGCAGCCAGGGCATAACTTTGCTCTGATGGCCTCAGGCAAGGGCCGGGGAAGGGAGCCAAACCCAGTGTTTATTTGGAACGCTGCAAATGTGTGGGTAGCAGCTGCCAGGCAGGTGATGATCCCTCTCTCGCCTTTTGCTTTGAAAACAACCATCAAACCCAGGTGTGGCCAAATCAGCAGGGGTGGGGGGACATTGGCCAGTGGGACCCCTCTCACAAGTGTCCCCACTGCCCTCCCCACTTCTTTCTGCCCTGCAGAGCGGAGAAGCATCCCTCTTTGAGGTGAATATCCGGTACATCGGAGGACTCCTCTCAGCCTTCTACTTGACAGGAGAGGAGGTGAGTTGGTGCTTCCATGCCCCTGGACCAGGCTGGAAGGGACGTGGGAGACCTTCTAAACCTACCCCCTCATTTCACCAGTGAGGAAGCAGGGACCCAAGGAGATTTGCTCAGGGCCCCCCATGTCCCCCACCTCCACGGTGCCACCTGCAGCCTCTTCCTCCTCTTCTGTCTAATGCTTCCCTTCTGCTGCCCAGGTGAGCCCATAGCTCCCACAGATGGTAGTAAATTCTCTAAGGACAGCTCCATCCACGCAGCAATACCTGGGCTCGGTGCGGGCTGTGGAGCTGCTGGCTGGTTTTTGCAGGTGTTGGTTCTCAGGATTGATGAAGCCCAGATCGTCGCTTCACCACTTCCACCCCCAGGCCCCTTGGCCTTGGCCTTGGCCTTGGCCTACTCACAGACACCCCTTGCCCTCCCCTCCTGGGCCAGGGACCGGTCAGACTCACCAGCTCAGGGTCTCAAGGGGGAAGTGGGGGAGATGGGGCAGCCACGTGTTGGAAGCACCAGGCCTTAGCCCGGATGCACTGCATTGGCTCCCAGAAGGAGGGCCCTGGGCACAGAGTCAGAAAACCTGGACCTCATCCCCACACCACACTAGCCTGTGACCTTTAGCAAGTCCCTGCTCTCATCCTTGGGCCTCACTTTCTTCCCCACCATGGGGATGGTCCTAATCCCCCACTGGGTCAAAAAGTCTTGTGAAATGGGGCCGGAGGAAAAGGGTTCAACCCCAGGGCTGCATTGCCAGCGAATTTTGAAAACCACAGAGCTCTGTGCAGTTGGGAGCCCTCTTCATCCCCTCATGGGCTCCCGGGAAAGCACAGCCTGAGTGTCTGGTGGTGAGCTTGGCCAAGTCCCCAGGACATCGGTCAACTGTATTCCTTGGTATCCAGAGGCTCTACTGCTGAGCACGACCACTGCCCTGGGGCTGGACGCCTGGCCTGGCCCCTTTACTTTCCCCACACTTCCCCCTCTCTGTCCACCCAGAAATGAGTAATAATGCCCATGGGGGCTCATGGAGGTGAGGCCAGCAAGCAGCAGGAAACTCCCGCTCCAGCTCTACAGCTGTTGCCTGCGAAAGTCATTTCCACTTCCCTTCAATTTAAGGCACACGGGCTGAAGTCAAGAGTTTAGAGGCAACGGGCATGTGCTTTATCTCTCCATTTGCTTTAGGCCTCTCTCCATGAAGCATTATCTCCTCGGCAGAGATTACCACTTGTTCCAATTTGTCCCCAAATAATTATAGATGGGAGCCCTCAGCGTTGAGCCACCTGAGGCCTGAATTGCATTTGAAAACCCCAGGACAGGAAAATGGCATCTGTGTTCTTCACAGGCACTTGCCCACCTCCTGCCTAGGTCACGGGAAATGGACGTGGGACTCGGGGGAAGTGGGGAGCGAAGCAGCGGGGCTCGTGTGGGGCCAGTGATTCAAGAAGGCGCTGGTGCTCCTCAGACCTCCTGCTTGTCTTTCCCTCCCTCCTCTGAGGTGTCTGGTTCTGAGACCTCGGCTTCCCAGAAGGGACCATCAGCCTGGCTTTCCAGACAGTGGAATGTGGAGAGCCGTCCCTGTGACTTAGAAATACGTAGTTCAAAAGGCCCATGCAGAGGCCCAAGTGGCCCAGAATTCCTGAAGGCAGGCTCCTGGGGTTATCAGCACAGCCCCTGTCCTCCAGCCACCCCTCCCGGGTCCCTCTCTGTTTCCAGCACCTGCACATGGCAGAGACCTTGCTGCACGTGCATGGTGTCCTCAGCTCCTCCAACAGCCCCATGAGGTGACGTTTTCACTGATAGGCAAACATAGAACCTGAGACAGAGAGAGAAGCCACTTGCTCAGGTCACCCAGTCTCTGGGGACTGTGCTGGGTCAACTCCTGACCCTCTCTGCAATGGGTCTGGGTTGTAGCCCTAGTTCAGCCTGGCCCAGTAAGCAAAATGTTGCTCTGAGCTCCATGAGCCTCTCTAGCAAATTAAATCCAAGGAGGGTTTCGTGGGAACCTCTCATTTATAGCCAGTCGGTCAAAAGTACAGCTAACAAACTGCACTTTTGATTGGGTGTCTGAAGTGTGTGGGGGGGGGTTGGGGGGCAGTCCTGTAGGACTGAACCCTTAACTTATGGAATCGGATGCTGTCTCCATGGAGATAGCGTCAGATTTGAGTTGGATTCTTAGATTCCCAGGTAGTATCTGGGGAACTACTAGGTGGTGTGGGGCAACTGCCCCCACCCACACACATTGGAATTGGGTTCAGAACCTGTTACACACCCCCTCACTTCCAAGATGATAAGAGGGATCAGTGTTCTTCGTTCCCAGTGGTCCCACTCCTGTCCACAGTCACTCAGCATCCTCCCTGGGGTGGCTGAGAAATTGCAGTGCAGCAGGACCTTGCCTTCCAAAGGAGGAGACACGGTGTGCTGGCAGAGAGGAGCTTGGAGTCCTCAGGAGAGAGGGCAGCCAGACAGCCGCCCAGAGCCTCAGCTTTGGGTTCAGGTTCCTGTGGGTCCCTCTGTACCTCTGGGCTCAGCCTCACCAGGGGTCCATGAAGATATCGGGAGCTGCAAATGACAGCCCTTTGTTGTTGCTAAACCAATGGCTGCTGGGGTGACAGAGGCTTTGGAATCTGGATTCTTGACAAGCTCCCCGCCAGGGGCTCTGACATGGCTGGCCCTGTGCCCACTTCGGGGACCCACTCTCTGGCACTGACTTGATCATCTTCTCTTGCCCATCGCTGCCAGGCCCCTTGTGGCTGTCCCTCCCTCTCCTTCTGTCCTCCCTTCCTCCCTTCCTCCCTCCCTAAGCTAGGACCACACCCACCCCTCAGAGGCTCCCAGAGGCCTCTAATCCACTTCCCACAGTGTTCCCAAACTCCTCCCCACTGCGCACTCTAAACAGCTGCCTCAGCATTTTTAAATTGCATGTGTTGGGGTGGGGGGAACCTCAAGAGGACTTTGTTTTGAAACCACATGCAGGAGGTCAGCAAACTGGGTCACCCTCAAGCTCCAGAAGTGAAAGGAAACATGTCTTGTCCCACCCAGAGCCGTTGCTGAGGGACTTGCATCTCAACTTTTAAAAGATAAATGACGTTTACTGTGGGTTTGTTTTTACTATAAAAATGGCACAAAAAATAGAAATAAGCCAAAAGCAGAAAATAAAAATCTCCCATGAGCCTACCCCTCCCAGGGGTTAATATCGGGGTGTGTTCCCTTCCCATCCTTTCCTCACACATCCCTATGTGTATCATTCTTATAGAAGTTGAATTACACTATTTTGATATATTTTTCTCTTAATAGAGTATAAGCCCTTCCTTTGCTAGTAAATATTCTTCTACAGCTCACTTCAGGGGCCGCATGGTGTTCCATTGCATGCATAAGCTGTCGTGTCGCTACATCCCTATTGTTTGATATTTAGAGTATTTCCATTTTTTCCCACTGTTCTAAACAATGCTGGAATACCTAGCCATAAAGTTAAAACTTTACAACATTCTTGATTATTTATCTCCTTAGAATAAATTCCTAGGAGGGAAACTGCTGAGTCAGAATACCACAGGTGCTTTTGAATTCACAGGACAGTTTGAGGGGGTCAGTCTTGGGCAGGGACCCTGGGGGCTGGGCCCTCCTCGTGGCTCCCTTGCCATCATGTGGGTGGCCTAAGATAAGCCATTCTCCTTGTCCGTGTGTTCCCATCTGTAAAATGGAAACAGTGGGTAGAATCTGAATGTGAAAAGGGAAAACCCCTCAGCTCCCCGTTTACAAATGGGAAAGTATTGCCCAGAGGGAGGCCATGCTTTGCTGAGAACATAGATGCCAAGCCGTGGAACCAGGTGCTGTTTATGCTCAGTGCAAACGTGTTTCCCACGCGCTCAGCCTGTGATGTCCTGGTCCTGCGGTGTGAGCAGGCACTGACCCTTGGTGACCCGCTGCCCTGACTGCTTCATCTCCCCAATCGTCACCCTAATCACAGTCAGAACCACTGAGCCTGACTGTGGTAAGTGCTTTACAACCATTATCTAAGTTTTATTCCTCCCAGCAACCCTCTGAGGAAGGCAATACTGTGCTCATTTTATGACCAAGCAAAGTGAGGCTCAGAGAGAGGTGCCTCACCTCAGGCCACGCAGCCCGGAATCCATGGAGCCAGGCTCCCTTCCAGGCCGGTCCCACCGCAGAGCCGAATGTAGTGCCACCTCCCACTCTGGGCCGCGCAGCACTGGCAGGTTTATCTGCCAGCATCCCACCCAGTCCCAATTCACGTGCCCTTTGACCCTTTCAGGTATTCCGAATAAAGGCCATCAAGCTTGGTGAAAAACTCCTGCCAGCCTTCAACACCCCCACGGGAATCCCAAAAGGCATTGTGAACTTCAAAAGGTAGGAAGCCTTCTGCTTGTCCGCTTGTGCATCTGCATGGAAACTGAGGCACGGGGAGAGGATGACACTGACCTCTGGAATCACAGCCAGTCGGTGGCAGAGTGCAAAAGAGCCTTCGCCAAGGGCTCTCCTGGGCTGGTGGTTCTTGGGATTTCGGACACACAAGGCCTGATCCTCTAGGAGTGGGACGGGGCAGCTGTTCCTGTGATCACCCCTCAGCACTGCCTTGACTCACAGCCCTCCAGGTGTGCCCTCCTTCCCCAGCCAGGGTCAGAGGCCAGGACGCACGTCACACCCTCCTACCATGAGGAGGTACCCAAAGCTGGCCCTGTACCGTGGGTAGCAGACCCCTGGGAGTCCTTGTAGCGGGCACCCAGGGAGCTCTCTGGGACCACCCTCGAGGCCCTCCTACAACCCCAGGCCTGAGAGGAAGGCTGTAATATTTCTATAGCATCAGACTTCCCCCTTTCACCTCCCGAAGTGATTTCTTATCTCGGGGCTCTCAGTCCAGCAGTAGCTTCAGCCCTCTTTTGGGGTGGGAAGGCGGATGCTGGAGGGGAGGCAGGGGCCCTGGACCCAGGTGAGAGTGGCCACAGCTCCCTCTGTCCCAGGATGTCCCACCCTTACGTCCGCCTGAATTGCTTCAGCACCCCCTCCTGGTCCTTGCAGAGAAGGGAGGACTTGGCATCTTCACCTACTGTCCTCTGTGGTTGGAAAGCATTCCTGGGGTGTGACTGCACTTACATCTCACCGTGGGCCAAGGGGGGGCCCTCAGGACCGATCGATCCCATTCTTGGTGCCAGGGTTGACTCCTCAGAGCTGGACACTTGGATGTCTGCTCAGATGCCTTTTCCACAAACATGGAGTCTGTAGGAACGTGGCCAGCTGTCGTGGAGCCGAGACACAAATATGCTATCTTTCCAGCTCCCTCTCCTGCATCCAGCTTCTCAGGCCTCCTTGCCCAGGACCTGGGATGGGACCCAAGCTCAGGCATCCCTCCCTCCTGTGTGCATGGCACCGTCCCCTGAGCCCTACACCACAGCCCTGGTGTTGGCCTTACCCGTGGCCCTCAGAGCCCAACTTGACCCATCATAGATCCTGCAGTTTCTGACTAAGAAAGCACATTTATTTTTAGGCTGTTTGTGTGCTGCCAGTGCTGTGCACACATGTTTGTATATGCTTATTTCCTGGCAACACCCCCCTTCCATTTGCTAGGTAAGAATCTATTGCTAAAAGTGCCTCCCTGTTCCCCAGGGAGGACATCAGGGATGTTTACGGGCTCTGGCGGCACTGACTTTGCTCTTTGGAGCAAAGCGGGGGGGTGGTGGAGGGTTGGGCCACACACTGCTGTCCTGCTCTGGGCAGGGCTGGCTGTGGGCCCCAGCAGGACGGGTACGTAACTAGGCCCTGCCCCCAAAGGAGAACCCTGAAGGGAGGTGGTCCCCAAGTGAGTGGGACTGCCCCTGCTCCCTGATGGAGAGGTGTGTCTGTGCAGCCTGGCCTGGGAGGCAGAGGCAGGGGCAGCTGTGACCTGTGACCTGCAGGGAACATTGGTCTATCCGGAAGAGTGGCCGTGGCCAGTCCATGTACCTCTGCAGCTGACTCAATCTGTCACTTGCTCCCTCACACACATTATACTCTACTGCCATTCATCCAAATCATTAAGGCTCAGATACACAAGCTCACCTTTGTCACACACACTCTCGCATCCGTACATATGTGCGTAATTCACACACACAAATACGCATTTACATATGCATTCACACATTGATGTACACATCTCAATAATGGCTACTGTATTGAGTGTTCGCTGTGTGCCAAGCACGATGCGAACACATGACATAGACTGTCTCTTTTCAGCCTCACAACAGCCACATGGACCCCATTTTACCAGTGAAGAAACTAAAGCTCAGAGAGGTGAGGTAACTTACTCAAGGTCACACAGCAGCAAAGCAGAGTTAGAATCAGAATCCAGGTCGGTCTGGCTCCAAAGTTAACAATTACACCATACACAGGCGTGCACACACACCTAGACGCTCCTGCCAGGCTGGGGAGGGGCATTGTGGAGCAGCCCCTCCCACCAGGGGAAGAGGACACAGGCTGCAGACCCACCTGCAGGCTTCAAAGCGGGAGGGCGCAGAGGGCCGAGTTCCGCTTAGCCCATTGCCCACAGGGCCGATCGGAGGACCTCCTGGGCTCCGGATGCTGCCCAGAGAAGAGGCATTTGGGGCACAAAGTACCTATGATTTAGATTTAGATTCAGCTCTACCAGCTCTGTCGCTTGCTTTGTGACCTTGGAAAAAGTGTCCCCTCCTCTCTGAGCCTGAGTATCTTCAGCTATGAAATACGGATCATGGTATCTACCCTCTGAAGTTGTATGTGAAGGTAAAATAAGATACAACAGCTGCCTGGCACATATCAGGAACTTCATAACTCAAACAACACAGTTTACATGTGCATAATTACATAATGATAAAATGACAGTCATTACATGCATAATTTACACCTTACCAATAACTCTATGAGGGGTGGGTACCATCATTTAATGGATGAGGAAACTGAGGGCTAGAGAAATTAACCGACCTGCCTGAGGTCACCGAGCTGGGAACTGGGGGAGCCGGCATTTGAAGCCAGCCAGGCAGGCGAGAGGGAGGTACCCACCTCTGCCCCGGCTGGCACGGCCTGTCTGCCAGCACGGCTCCACTACAGAGGCCCATTTGGGAGGTGAGTGTTGGGAGGAGGAGGAGAGGAAAGAGAGGTTCATGTCGGGGGAAATGAGACCAAAAGACGGCCAGCCTGACGGCTGGTAGGGTTTTTTTTGTGGTTTTTTTTTTTTTGCCTTGAATTTCTCTGCAAGGGCAGGAAGCATCAATTATTCAGGAAACCTTCTGCCCTCTGAGATCACATGCTACAGAGAAAAGTCTCTTTTGGGAAAAGAGACAGAGTGGGGACAGCTCTCACTTCCCTCTGGGCGGATGTGAGGCCATCTGGGTGGGAGACCCCCTTAGGGAAGTGCCCGGCAGACCTCAGTTTGAATCCCACCTCCACCACCTACTGGCTCTGACCTTTGACAACTCACTGCCCTCTCTGAACCTGTTTCCTCCTTTGCACATTGGAATTAATGATGCTTTACCTTTGGGCTTTAAATGAAGTAATGCTATGAACAGTTTGCCCCAGAGACTGCCATTTGTAGCAGCTCAACAAACGGAAGCTGTTTTATTTACTATCCAGGAACCAAGTTTCCCCTCTCTATGGAACCCATCTCTCCCCCTGCACCCCTTACCCCCAAGTCAGGGAAGTGGAGACAGGAAGAAGGGACCAGTGGTCGTCTCTATGTTTATTGAGGTCACCTACCCCAAAAGATCCCAAAACACAAGTCCTCTATCTGTTTCTGGAAGCTGGGAGACTGGTGACTTTCCCAACTTCCCAGGAAACCACATCCAGGCCAGAGAATGGAGTTTAGGAGAAGGGGAGCCCCAGCTCCATCCCAGGAAAAGCAGTGCCCCTGACGTGGCAAACCACGACCTCCCAGAACCATGCCTGCCTTCCTAGGTCCTGTTCCGGGGGGACAGAGGGACACACAGGGACCAGTTCCTGAGAAGCCAGAGCTATCACAGAAGGGAAGCAGAGGGGCTTCCGAGAGGCCCCCCGGCAGAGCCAGCCCCCCAGCCTGCCCCACACTAACTGCACCTTGGAGCCTCTACAAATGGGGAGCTCACTCTCCACCCCCTGTCCTCCCACCTCCCAGAGGAGGGACGTTGACCTCTGTCCCCCTAGTTGTCCTAAATGTCCGATAGAAAAGATCATCATGATACGTATGAGGAAACTGAGGCACAGGGAGAGGAAGCAGCTTGCCCAAGGCTACCCCCATTCTTCACCGTCCTCTTCTCCCTTGATCCCCACAAAAGCCCTAGGATGGAGACGGGGAGGTGCTATCCTTACCCAGTTGGTCGGGTGCAGAAACTAAGGTACATGAGGAGGAATGGTTTGCCCGAGGCCTGTCAGCTAACACACTTGAACCTGTGCCTCCTGGCAGCAGATCCCAGGGAGATTTTAAGTGAAGGGCCTGGAAAGACAGTGGCCTTGCTTATTATATAATTAAAAGTGAGGCCGGCTGCACGGTGATTAGGACAAACTCTAGAAGCGGGGTGACCGTGACTGCTTCTGTCTTTTCAGCGGCTCCAACAGGAGCTGGGGCTGGGCCATGGCCGGGAGCAGCAGTATCCTGGCGGAGTTCGGGTCCCTGCACTTGGAGTTCCTACACCTCACTGAGCTCTCTGGTAACCCGATCTTCGCTGAAAAGGCAAGTCTTCTCCCTGCTCCTGCCCCAAACGGCGCCTCCCTCATCTCCCCACAGAGAGCAGAAGGGTGGGCACCCAGCCCAGCACAGGCCACAGGGAAGCGGATCACAGATCAGCAGGAGGGTGGGTGGGGGACCCAGAAGCCCCGCTAATAGTTACTTGTAGAAGACCTGATTGTACCCAATCTCAGGCGGCAGGGAAGGCAGGCAAGGAGGATAGTCAGGCTCCTACAGCGGGCAGGGAAGAGACAAAGCGGCCTGGGAGAATGTTCTCGCTGGGATGTGGCAGCTCCGTGGCAATCACACATGTGTGAAATCTGGAGAAAGTGCAACCGCTGAAGTCTACGCACCAGCTCACATTGGCAGGAATTGGCCACCCAGTGCAAAAGTCCCCTTTCCAAAGACATTTAACTTTTTTGTGTGAGATCTGCCTGCCTTTTCCTTCCAGATGCCCGTCTAGCTCATGCTGTCAGAGCGATTTTACTCTACAGCAGAGGCAGACGCCTGTTACTTCTCCCAGTTACCCAGGCCACGGGGGGCCTGAGAGATGGGGTCCAGGCTGTCATCCATGCTGACAGCTACCCGTTCCTCCCGCGTCGAGGCCCTCCAGAAGGAGCAGTGCCTCCATGTCACAGCCCTTGGCAGTCCCACTGTTTGGAAATGTCTCCATGGGCCTAACCCTAAACCCAAAGAAGGGAAGTGTACACACACCACCCTCAGATGGCGCTCAGGCGCCATCAGCACTTATCCCTTCCTGAGTTCTGCCTTGTGAGGTGAAGCCCTGCCCTCCAAGAAGAACCCCTCGAAGCCTTCCACTCCCAAAGCCTTCTCTTCCCCCTGTCTCTTCCCCGCCACCAAACATTAGCCTCTTAGAACTCCAGGGGAGCTAGGAGCTCATAGATCCACACTCCACCCAGTGCCTCCCAGTCTCGCATCAGCCTCAGAGCCTCACCTGGCATGCCTGTGAGGAAACAGATCTCTGGGCTTCACCCAGGAATCTGCATTTTCAATATGCACCCTTTTGCTTTTGGACGCCAAGTTTAGGACCACTGCTTATTCAGTGTGGGAATCCACCCATGCGTTCTTGAGAAAACACTCAAAAAGAGCTTTTCAACCCCCTGATCACTTCCTTCCTCTGCACTGGAGTTCACTACCACCCTTAACCAGCCCATCATGTTGTCAGACCTTCTTTCAAAAGCTTTGCTGTATTTGGAGAGGACTCTGCCACCCTGTGACACCCCACCTTGGAAGCTCATGGAATTCGTCTGACCCCACTTCCCTTGTCCGCTGCTCCTTGTCCCACCTCCATGCCCTACGTCCCCTGAGCTGCCCTGTCTCCACTGCTCTTCAGCCAGCTCCTCCAGGACGATTGTGGCCGGCTCAGAAAGGAGGGACAGGGAGCTCACTCTAGCCCCTGACTAGTCTGGAGAGACTAGCCACTACTGCCTGAGCACCTACTATGTGCTGGGCACCTCACAGTCTCTCTAACCCTCCCGACAGCCCTATGAGGTGGGTCTTCCTGTCATCCCCATTTTATAGAGGAGCAAACTGAGACTCAGAGAGGTTAAGTCACTTGTCCCAGGTCATCCATCTGACAAGCGACAAAGCCAAGATTCAAGTCCAGGGTTTTTTGGCTCTGAAGCCCATATTCTTTCAAAACAAGATTAGTCCAGCAGGCTTCAAGCTTTTTCTCTAGCGTCCACCCACCCCTCTCTCGGCCTGTCTCTACATTTACATTCTCCAGCTATTTTCATCCCCCAGTTATGCCTCCCACAGAGGCGATTATTGGCAGTCAACAAATTGGCCCAAATTCTAAAAGCGCCCGCACCCTAAGGGAGCTAATTCCGCCTGCTTCACTGCTCACCACCAGGACAGTCGCGAATAAGTCAGGTACAAGCGTATTCCCGCCCCCCATAATGGACTCCATTAACATAAGTGGATATGAAATCTGATGTGGCAAAGCAAATGCTGTCCCCTGGAAAGAAAGGTCTGACAGCTAAAAGGCCTCTCTCCCTGCGCGTCCTGTCGATAAATCTGTGAGCATGATACAGCGTGGTCCCCGAGGGCCTTTTCTCTCCCGGCAGATTCTATGCTGGGAGGATATCACGTACTGCCTGAGTGCAGACCCTGAGGGATAAAGCCTCACCGCTTTTAGAGCCAAAAGGTTGCAAATCCAGCTTCCTCTGCTACATGCTGCTGCTACACTGTCCCTGCCCTGGTCCCTGTTGGACCCTGGCTCTGCCACTTACATACTAGGTGATCACGGGCAAGTCACCAAACCTCTGCAATTCAGGTGTCTTGTCTGTTAACCTGGGACAATAATACCATATAGGTTGTTCTGATGGTTGGAGATAATGTATGTAACGCATTTGGCTCAGGGGAGCTGAGAAATGTTAACCCTGAGATGCCTGTGAGGGCATCGGGGTATTGAGGAGCCCAGGCCTCTCCTCTGGAATGTTTCCTATGGCGTCAGATAAAATAACATATTACCAGGTTGAACCATATGCAATTGTCAGTAGTTGACCATTTCTGACCTACTAAAAAGGAAATTATACCTAGCACTTACAAAACAGCTTCTATCCTTTATACGAATCTGCCCTCCTAAAAACACCCATCCCCAAAAGAGGCACTCAGTGAGGACGCTGGGGGCCTCGGCAGGCGTCAGGCAGAGCGGTCAGTGCAGAGGTGATGGGTGAGGCCCCACTATGGCCATGTCCTGCCGAGCCCGCACATGGGCACCAGGTCAAGGCCATCCCACCAGCTCCAGGTTGGTGCCTGCTGTTGGTTACGCAGCTCTCCCTTCCTCCCTCGCTGGAATGGTTTACTCTGGATCTGAACCAGTGGCCGTGGTCCTCGGCGGGCTGGGAGTGGGCTGGCTTCTCCAGGAAAGTGAAGGTGTGCCTGGTGTCCCTCTCTCGGCAGGTCAGGCACATCCGAAAGGTCCTCAGGAAGATCGATAAGCCATTTGGCCTCTACCCCAACTTCCTCAGTCCAGTGAGCGGGAACTGGATGCAACGTGAGTACAGAGACGCTGCGGCCCCACCTGCAGCGGGTTTCCGCCCAGCTTCCGTGCCTGGCCCCGTGCGAGGCACCTGGGCCGATTGAGCAGTGATGCATTTACAGAGCCACATGCCAGTGAGGCACTGACCACTGCTCATGGAATACCCCACCCCCACCGCGCCCGCCCTTCTGGGCGACTGTGGGAGTTTTCTTATGGTTGTCATTACTGTGGTGACAGATGTGATGGCTGTCAGCAGTAAGGCCCTGCCCTGCGCGTCCCTCTCACACTAGCTGTCTCCATCAGCGCTGCAGCCTTCCATCTCTGTGGTGCCTGCTGAAACCTCCTTCATCATCCCCAACCTTTCAGAAATGTTCTAATTAGAGCTGTCTACCCCAAAAGGCACTCGAGGAGAGGCCATGTATCCTCTCCCAGACCCTCTGATCTGGTTCCCCACCTCCAACTTTAATTGTTTGCTCTAACTTTAAGCGGAGCCTAACTGTACAGCAAATATAAAAACCATGAATTCACCTCCGTATGGTACACTGGCAAGAATCAGCCCCGGGACTTCCTGCTGTTCTCCATTCAGAGGCTTGTTTCTCAGCCAGATGGTTGTCAGATACCTGGTTACCCGCGGAGCCTCATTGACAGTCCCCAGCTCCACCCACTGAAGCAGAATGGGATTTGGGGGGACACTCAGGAGGGAGTGTGTTGGAAAGTCTCCCAGGCCCCCGGCATTGCACCCCTGTCAAGAAGCCCTGCTCCGCCTTGCCCTCCTGCCCAAGGCCCTGGTCCTGTGGTCCTGGCACACCTTGGTGGCAGGCGGTTCCATGGGCCCTGCCCGAGGACTCCCCAGAGCCCCCGCCTCCACTGCCTCTGCCCAAACAAGGGCCCCTCTTTCTTTCCCCCACTTGCAGCCTCAGTTCTGATGGCATCCGCCAGGGCTCAGGGGCAGAGGAAACATGAGTCTAATTACAGCATGGCTGGGGGACGTTCATTTTGTCTTTGAGCCTTGGTTTCCTCTCCTGCAAAATGGGAGAAGAGCTCGAGATATGTTCTTTGTGTGCCGTGGAGGGATGGGGGAGCAATGGTCCAAAGCGGCAGGAAACAGATCCCCGTTCACCTGCCAGAGACGAGAAGGGATGTCCCAAAAGGGAATGCGTGCCCATCCGTAAAAGTCTGCAGGCAGGGCCCAGCAGAGATGGACAGCCTTGTCCTTCCAACCCCCAGCCTCTGAGATCTGCAGGTTCAGAGGCCCCACAAAAACCGCTTATAGAAATGCAAAGTGTTTTTAACCAAACACACTTCCAAGTCCTAGAGTGGGCGAAGAAAATGAAGGTTTGAATTACAGATTGTGGCCCCGGGAAGAGACAGTTTAATAACTGTTACTGCTTTTAATTGCAAGGCCTGACTGGGCAGAGAGATAAACTACCCTGCTGCCGGCCTTAGCTGCTCCAGGACAATGCAGCAAAACCCATAAAAGGAGAAGGGTGTGGCTTCCCATCCTGAACAGTCACCTTGGCAAATTACAGGGGAGCCCCGACTGAGAAGCATAATTTTCTTTTCAGGCTGTGCCAGGGGTCACAGGGCTGGGCCAAGTCGGTCACGCGAGGAAAACTGTTTCATATTAATAAAATATGAATACGCGGCCAGCTCAAGAGCAGAGGGAGAGTTACAAAGCCCCTCTGATCTGGGCGCCTGCTATCCCCCTCCCCTGGCTTTGTCGGGCTGGGATTATCTCAGGTTTTCTGTGGGCGTTTTTTTGGTGATTATGTATTTTTCCAGGTGATAACATTCCCAACTTGCATAAGCTAAGCGTGTTCCCCTTCTTTTCTCTCCTTGAATCCTCTTTTTAGCCCGTTTGCAACCACAGACATTGCAGCTTAGAGAGGCGAAGGAGGAAGTGGGGCTGCCTCCCAGTCCCTGGCTCCTGCTCATGGCTGCTCCCCACTCCTGTTTGGAGCTGAGCTTCCGGGCAACAGGGGAGGCCAGGACTTGCTGCCACTAGGACCTCACAGCCAGGAGTCCACTAGGCTCCTGCTGGTACCGACCTTCGCAGAGCCTCTGAGAGCTCAGAGAGCTGCCAGCCCCTCCGCTTGGGCCCTGGAGCGACTTGTCCTCCATGTCCACTGCCTGAATGCCACTCTTTCCTCAGTGGGAGGCAAGTGGCAGGTCTAGACTGTCCCCAACGGGCGAGACTCTTCCAGTGAGATTCTTCCCAGTGGGATCGTGAGCTGCCCATCAGCCCCAGCCTCGCAGCCTCCCCGTGTTCATTGCCAAGTCCCCAGCTGGTAGGGTGGCTGCCTCATGCTGCCACGTGTGATGAGAGTGTCAGAAAGCAGTAGAACCCATCTGCGCGCTAAGGCTCATGGGCACCAGCTCATGCCCCCCTTTTGCATTTTACATCGGAAGACTGAGGGCCCACCCGGGAAAATGACTTGTCCCGAGCTAATGGCAGGTCCACATCTTCTGATTCCCACTCCTGTGCTCCTCCCGGCATATCACACGGCGCTGGGGAAGACAACACACGCAGTAGCTAGAAAGCAGGGGGACCTCCAAATGAGACTTGTCCGTTTCAGTCGAGGTCTCTTGAGAGACTATACACATACCCCTGGGAGGTGTCCTGTCTCAGTTGTCTGGTGACCTGGCTCCCTTCTGCACACACCTGCCAGGTGAAGCCCTCGACCGTGTCACACACACTCTGGCTTGGTATTCAAGGCCCTTCCCAAGCACAGGTCAAACCTACCTTCCTTTCAATTCGTTTAGGATTTCCTGGGCGTCTGCTGTGTGCCAGTCAGGTACTGGACATAAAATGTGAATCATACACAGTCCCTTTCCACACAGAGCCCACCGCCCAGTCGGGGAGGCAGACGGCGTCAGAGCAGCCGATGGCAGGCACGCACGGAGCGATGACAGGACGCCTGCCACTGAGCACTTCTCGCAGGAGGGAGGCGCACTGGGCCAGATGTGGCACGTGCCTTATCTCACTCGCTCCTCACGGTCACCTTGCCGGGAGGGACTGGGAGCAGGTCTATGAGAACACTGAGGAAATCCTTTCTGAGGAGGGGATGCCTGAGCTGAGGTGTAGGGGTGAGGAAGCATTGGCCAGGCCGGGTGGAGAAGGGCATTCCCGAGGGAGAGTGGAGGGATGGTCCCAAGTGAGAAATAGCGTGCAAGGCCGGGGCTAGGAGTGTTTGGGGTGGCGGAAACCGTGAGAGGAGGCAAGTCCAGATGAGTGTGGAGATGACAGTGGCCCGAGCTGAATACCTGTGACCCAGGGCCCCGTCCTGTGGGCTGGGAGCGGCCAGAGAGCTCTCCGTGAAGGCTGACTTCACCATTTGACTTCCAGCCTCCCCCCACCCCTGCTCTGCACAGACCTGCTCCAGCCCTGGACACGCCATCCACGTGCTGGGCCTCCCTTTGTGCTTGCCCAAGCTGTGCCCTCCACCGAGGAACAGGGGGTGAGGGGTCCACTGCTGCTGCTTGCCTCCCTGTTCACTAGCAAAGCCCAGCCCACACGGACCCGCTCCCTCCTCAGGCTTTATCTGGACCGTTCCAGTTTTTGCAAGTGCTTGTTCCGGTCCTGAAACCTTCCTGGGCAGGATTTGTTTACGCAGGAGGACAGCAGGGCTGGGTTTCTGCAGGGACCCCCTCTCAGCCCCCTTCCCCATTCCCCATCTCTCTCTACCCTCCGACTTCTGGCCCTCCTTGCTTCGCCACGTGTCCTTTTTTTCTCTATAACTCTGTGGTTTCATTCTCGGGTTGACTGTGTCAAGCTGCAGAAAGGGAGAGCTCTACCAGTTTGGTGGCCCTGGGCGAGCTATTTGGGCTCACTCTCAGTTTTCCCATCTGGGAAATGGGGGTGATAATGCTTACTTTGCAAGGTTCTTGGGAAGATTGTTATAAATAATGCAGTAAAGCTGCTAGCCCACAGTGGGCTCTCCATAAGTGGTAGCTGTTCACGAATTCTCTATTTCTTTCTCCCCCCGCCCGCCGCCACTTTCCTGATCTTTTTATCCTCTGTTTCTCCAGAGGAGCTGAAAATACTCTTCCCATTCCCCCCTCCCCACCTTCACCCACGCCCCAACCCCCTTCCTCTCTCTGTCTCTCTGCTTAAGTGAATCGTAACAGGGAACTGACATCTGCTCTGGTTTGAGCCTTAAATGCCTTTATGTTTCCCTGTTGTTAATTTTTAAAGCATGTGAGTGTTTCCCATGTCTTGCTTCTGTGGTTAAGTGCCCCTCCGTCAACCTGTCTTTCTGTTGGGACAGCCCTGGGTGGAGACACCTCCTCATTCAAACACAGGCGGGAGGTCCTGCTCTGTGGGGACTCTGGACAGATGCCACCAAGACAGAGAGAGGGTCCTCACACCCAGTTTTTCCTACCCCTGCTCCTTTGAACTCCATTTATCCCAATTTGCTCAATTTAAACTCAGTTTTCCCAGAATGGCTCCGTCCTCTGACCAACTAAATTAAGCTTCTCCGTCCTCCTTTTCATGGCCTTTTATGAACCTGCCCAGCATTAATTACCATGTTTGTCACCGGGTAATAAACATCTCTGAACTCCCTGCCACCAGATTACTGTTTTAAAGCAATGCAACTCATTTACAGTTAATAACCGGCGGCCCTGCCGTCCTCAGGCTGCTAAAGCGACGTGATTTATAGCACGGGATGAACCCACGGACTTCTGTGCAGGGCCATCGCACGCAAGGCGGCCCTGGCTCCCCCGAGTCGCAGGCTGTGCCTTTCTCGCAGCTCGGAGGCTGCTGATTAAATGCGTGCTCCCCAGCCACACACAGTACCGGGGCCACCAGGTCCGCCGGGCAAGACGCATGCTTGCTTAGTCCTGCCGGCCGCCTTGGCAGACGGAGAAAATGTCCTGTCCTTTTTCTCCTCACAGACCACGTCTCGGTTGGAGGACTCGGGGACAGTTTTTATGAATATCTGATCAAATCCTGGCTGATGTCTGCCAAGACAGATATGGAGGCTAAAGATATGTACTATGAAGCCTTGCAGGTAAGACAAGCACCTGCTTGTTCTTAGGTGGTCTGTCCGCCATTCCCGCCAGTGCTGGCACAGGCCCCTGGGTGCTGGGGCCTTGCTCCCCTGCCCCACAGTGAGCTGGCCAGGAGATTGACGAGTCAGTTCCCTCCCCAGTCAGTTACGTTGCACACCCTGTCTCATGACTCTTCTCAAACACCTTGAAATTAGGAGCATGTTAGCATCCTGTTTCACAGATGCAAAAGCCAAGCTCAGGGAGGTGAAGTCATTTGTCCAAGGTCTCACAGGAAGCAGCAAGCAATCTGATTCAGAACCCATGGTATCGATGTTTCAGTTGAGGTGTCAGAGGCCAGAACGCAGTCAGACAATGGGCTTGGAGCCCCCACAGGAGGCTGCCAAAGCAAGACCCTCAGCCATCTTCCTGCCAAACCAGAGGTGACAGTTAGCACATCCAAGCTGAGAGGGGCCTCCCTCAGTGGAGCACTCAGTTCTGTTCCATCTCTATGTGGATGGAAACCAAGGCCCATAGAAGGGAAAGCACTTGCTCAAAGCCACACAGCACAGAACTGGCAGGGCTGAAGCTAGAGGAGGTGTCCTGGCTCTAGATAGATGAATGGAAGGATGGATGGACAGATGGATGGGCAGATGGGTTGAAAGATGGATGGGTAGGTGGGTGGATGGAAGGAAGGATGGATTGAACGTGGGTGGATATGGGGGGATGGATGGTTATGTGAGGGTGGTTGGATGGATGAATGATCTCTACCCTCTGATCATATGAACCCAGCTAGAAATGGTAGTGTTTAAAGGAAGCATATTGAAACAGGCTTCCGGGGCTGAGCCCTTCAAACTATGGGCTCCGTTATAAGTTTTCTCTGCCCCAGCATCATGACCTCAGCCGTGAAGCAGCTCCTGGGAGTCCAGTCCCAGCTCAGTCTGGCTCGGCCCCGCCCATCCCAAGCTGCTAGAGCTGAGGGTAGCTGGCAGCCAGTGTCTCCTGTCCATTAGCGTTCAGCTGGTGGCCTGGTGTGCTGCCTGGAGAGGCCCTCGCTTCCTTTTCTGCCGTACCGTGCAGAGTAAAACATACAGTTAACGAACAGCTTGGTTCCCTGCCCTCAGGGCACACCATAGTTGAGGCTTCAAGGAAAGAAATAACCATGAATTATTTAAGCAAACTGGGAACTTTATGGAAACACTTGATTGAACAGGAGAGAACTGGCTTTGCTCCCATGTTTGATCTCCCCAGTGAAGAGCCTGCAGTGTCTTGGACCCTGGGTAAGGGCTAGGTGGGCCTATGGCAAGTTTGGGGCGTTGAAGAATGTTCTGGTGTTTCTCAACCTCATTGGCATGTTGATAGTCACTTGGAAAGCTATAAAACCCCAATGGCCAGGTTGCACTCCACCAAGGTTACATCAGAACCTCTGAGCTGGGGTCCAAGCAACAGCCTAGAAAGCAGCAGAGGTTCCAGTGTGCAGCTGAGAGCAATGTCCATCTGGGATGGGTATGGGGGGCTCAGACAGGCCGACTGAGCAGCCACTGAGGGTCATGGGAGGAGGGGCAACCAGAACAGGGAGCTTTTGTCACTTTGGCCTCCTCCGGGGAGTCACGTTGAGCACCTTGTCTTATTTAGCCCCGATCTGACAGATGATGAAACTGAGGCTCAAAGAAGCCCAAGGTCACACAGCAACAAGTGTCAGAGCCAGGGTGTAAACATGGTCTAACCGACTCCAGGTCACGTGCTCCTGCCTCCACTTACCAGCTACCGAATCCCAGAAGAGGCTGACTTGTTCAGAGTCCCTCTCGAGAGGGCACAGAGGGAATCCCATCCAGGAGGCAAAGGAAGCAAGAATCTCTGAATAGCCTCACAGGCAGCCCAGGAATTAGTCCCATTTTACAGATGAGGAAAAGGAGTCTTCAGAAAAGTGAAATAAGTCACCCAACGCTCAGTTGCAGAGCTGGGATTCCAACCAGGCCTCTGACTCTCATTTGCTGCATCTCTTGCTATGAGATTTAAGCCTTCTCACCCGTCAGTAGCCAGCCTCTGCTGTCTTGTGTTTTGCTCAGGGTTTTAGAAAGTCTTGGGTTTTTGCGTAGTTGTTTTTATCATCTTTGCATCTGCTTACCTCAGTTGCCTCCTTAAAGAGACAACGCTCTGTCATTTCCTCTTTACCATCATTAACTTAGCTTGAGGTTAACACCAAAATAACCTATTGGAGACAGTCTTGAAGGTGCGGATTTCTGGCTACACCACGAGGCTTCCTGGGATCTCCGCCCAGCCCCACCCCCATGTCTGTGTTTTCTCCTAAGTGTTGACAGTAGGTAACTAAACCAGGCTTCTGCACCTGGTCTAGTCCTGCCACCCCTCCCCCACACCTGCATGCTTAGGGATGCAGAGCAGCTGCCTGGACCCAGCTCTGCCCAGGAGCCAGGCCCCGGCCCAAGCAGACCCAGCCCAGTAGCAGGTGGTGCTCCAGGCTTCCTCCCCACCTGGGGCAGGTGGCCTGGCATGGCCATCCTCAGAGCTTGACCCTCTCTGTTCCTTGAGGGTCCCGCATCCAGCCCACCAGCCCAGGCCTTACAGGAGAAGGGAAAGGAAAAACAGTCAAGCAGCAAATTCTGTTTGAATACCTTCTGTTTGATAGACCCTGGCTGGAGATTGCTGGTCGTGGCTTCTGCCATCATGACACTCAGAGTCCTGGGAGAGACCATCCACAGAAACCTACACGAATACCTATACGCAAAGTGGGAATAGCACCGTGTAGAAAGATAACAGGGTAGAGCGTAATGGGGCAGCACCAGTGTAGACTGGGGTGCCCTCTGCAAGGAAGTCCACCCCGGAGGAGGCCCAAAGGCCAAGCTGGAGTTAGCAGAGTTGGTCGGGAGCAGTGGGGAGAAGCAGCAGCGGCCGGCAAAGCCCTGGGGCAGGAAGAAAACGCACCTTCTCTGACCTCACTCTGCCAAGTAGGACCCCCCCCCCATCCCAAGCTCTTCCCTGTCCCATCCCCTCAATTTGTTTCATTCAGAATGTTGACACAAGTTGTGATTCTTGTGTGTATTTGATTTTGCTGGGAAATCTGTGCTGACGGGTGAGCTCTCCGAGGCAGGTCCAGGCCCTCATCAGGGGCTGTGTCCCCTGCACCTAGCACAGTGCGGGCATTAAGGAAGTACTCACGAAATAGTCAAAGGGGGCAGGGGGCGCATGAATGAAAAGCGGCCAGTGTGGGAAGGACCAGGGGAGAAAGGGGCAGGGGCCAGTCTGGAGAGGAATTGTAATAGCCAGCATTTATGGGGGACTCTCTCTGTGCTGGGAAATTGGCTGAGCTCTGCAGACACATCTTGTTTAATCCTCACAACCCTATGAAGGAGTCCATGGTCTTATCCCCATTTTACACGTGAGGAAATTGAGGCACAGAGAGAACATAGAACCCGCCTAATGTCACACAGCTTGGAACTGGTGGAGATGGGGTTTGAACCCAAAGAGTCTGTACCTGAGAGCCATGTCAGTGGCATCACCTCAGGGTCCAGATTGGGGAATCTGAGAGGCCCTGGCTGGATGTTCGTCTCAGGGCACTTGGAAACCACAGAAGGGTGTTAACCAGGCATAAGACATGGTTGGGTTCATTATTTACAGAGTGCAGAGACCCCCTGGAGAACAGGTTGGATGGGCAAGGGTACAGGCAAAGGCCTGGCCCCAAAGTCCCGTCCCCCACCCCCGGACCAGGACCCATCAGCCCATCGAGTCCAGCCTTATAGCTGTGTAGAGAGCTGCCACCATCACCTCCCTCTCCAGGCAACCAGGGACTACTGGCAGGGAGGGGGGTTTATGATGGCACAGCACCTCCACCCCCAACATCCCGGGGTCTTTACCGATAGCATCACCTCCTACGGCAGCAGGGGAGGGCTCTCAACGCCTCTTAGCACCAAAAGGAGCAGCTGTCAGGTGGGAAAAGTGGTGCTTGGGCTTCTGGGGGTCCTTGTCCTAATCCTGGTGTTGCTGGGTGACCTGGGGCAGGTCACTTGACCTCTTCTTCTGTTGAGAGCACTGCAGCCCATGTGCCTGGCTTGTCGTGGGAATTAAATGAAAAGGTGTGTGATAAGGGCCTGTAGAGAGTAGCTCTACATTTTCTGCAAGTCTCTTTTGAGAATCTGATGAACTATATGGACACTTGCCCTGTGAACGTGCACTTACATGAAAGTGTCATGAAAGTATAATTTTAGGGAAATTCTAGACCCCGCTGAAGCCCATCCACAGGCCAGTTGGACTTCAGGATAAGATTCCCTAACAGAGTGTATAATGGGGGATAACAAGTTTTAAAGATTTTTTTTTAATTTCTGTACATAGACAATTTTAAAGTCTGTATGAGACTCACCTTGGGAAGTTGCCTTATGTCTAAGCCCCTCTGGTGGGCAGAGCCTCCCACCAGCCCCATCAGGAATGGCTGCCGCACGAGGCCAGCAGTCTGCCTTTGCCCAGCATGGAGGGCTCGGCAGAGCTGAGTTTGCTGCTGTCTCCAAAATATTCATTTTCCGTCCTCTCCCCTCCCTTCTCTGTACCCTCCCACGCCCCTTCTCCTTGCCCGATTCCCACCTTGCTCCCAGGCAATAGAGAGCCACTTGCTGAATGTGTCTCCTGGGGGGCTGACCTACATTGCTGAGTGGCGAGGGGGGATTCTGGACCACAAGATGGGGCACCTGGCCTGTTTCTCCGGGGGCATGATCGCCCTCGGCGCTGAGGATGCCAAGGAGGAAAAGAGGGCCCACTACCGAGAGCTCGCAGCTCAGATCACCAAGACGTGCCACGAGTCGTACGCCCGCTCAGGTAACCCTGCAAGGGGATGGGGCAGCAGGACAGACTGAGGCTAGACACCGGGAAGAACTGGAAAGACCAGCAGAGTGGTAGTGAGTGAAGGGGGACACATGGTCTTAGGGAAGTCTCCCCTTGGCAGCGATGCAGAATTTGAACGAGGGACATGCTATCTATGCACTAGCCTGGACCCTAAATTAAAGGGAAAGTGGGAATGTTGTATTAAGCACTTTGTGTGTGCTGGGTATTGTCCAGCACTTGACATACATCATCACTGAACCGCACAACACAGATGAGGAAACTGAGGCTCAGAGATGACTTGGCCAAGGTCCCATGTGAGGGGCACAGAGCAGAGGGTGCTCCAGCCCCTGAGGCAGAAACATTGGCTTCCTGAGCCTAGCACATTCCCTCTCCCTGAGCCCCGACCCCTAAATGTGTCTCTGCCTCTCCTCCCCGGCACCCCTCCATTTAAGGGTTCTCAGCACCTCCGGAGACCACCCTGTTTATCACCCTCTTTGACCCAAGACCACCAGAAGCTTGAGAGCTTCTCTCTAAACAGCGCCCCTCAGAACAATCCCTGGTCCCCCAGCTCCCCTGAAGGTGCCCACCTTCTGAGTTTAATCCCAGCCTTGGCTGGAGGAGAGTATCCAAGGTCTGGAGTAAAAATTCCTGGCTCACGTGCCACTCTGCCACTCACCAGCTAGGCAGCCTCCGTTTTCTCACCTGTTCAAGGGGAACAATCACACAGGTCTCCAGGGTGAAGGAGAAGGTCCCGCAGAAACACGTGGCTGGCCACCTTCAGCCCACAGCATGGAAGGCGTTTATTAGAGGCCTACCCTAAGTGGAGTGGATTCCACCACTCTAGTGAAATCCCAGTCTCCTGGGGCTGTTTGGGATGCCAGCGATTCGCAGTGGGTCCCTAAAACTGGTCTTCAATTCCCTTCAAAAGAGCTCTCTCTGCCAGCGCCATAAACAAATAGGAAACCTCGGGAATAATAAAAAGCTTGCTATTTGTCTGGGACAATCAGCCCAGACCATAAAAGACAGTCCGCTTAATAAAGCATATTGTTCTAGCCAGCCCGGCTCATCCACAGAAGGCTACAACAGTCGCTCTTGCCTTCACCCCATTAGCAGCTTGTCAAAACGACTGTTGTCTGGTGGCAGGAGCGGTTGCACCCTTTAAGAGGATTGGAGGGGCCGGGGCCTGGCTAATTCCTCTTCCAGGAAGCCCTCTATGGAAGAGTAGGATGTCCTGCAAAGCTCTAGCGCATCTCGAGGAAAAGCAACCCAGGGCTTCTCAGGGTCCTGAACTCTAACGGGAGGAGGGAGGACTCACATTAGGACCAGAGCTGGGCCCTCCGCTGACCTGGACAGGATGTGCAGGCATTAAAGAGAGAAAGATCTGACCCACATACCCTGAATCTTAAACCTAGAGAGTCAGACTCAGGAGGGAAAGAGAAGAGGGCACAGCCCAGGAAAGGACATCAGACAAATCCAGGGTCACATCCCAGCTCAGCCACAACTCGCTGTGTGACCTTGCATAAATTACTTAGCCTCTCTGATCCTCAGTTTCCACAGGCGTGACATAAGAATCATAACATCTCTCTTACCAAGGAAAAAAGAAGTATTTCTTTAAGGATTGAAATAATGTATGTAAAGCACTCAGCACAGCCCTTGAAATCATAAAGGGTGGCTGCCGTGGTGATTATAACTGTGATCATCCAAAAAACAGGAGCAGCAGCAAGTTGTGTGTAAACAAACAAAACAATGGCAACAGCAAAACCCAGACCTCATTGCCCCTCTGCCTGAGTATGTGCCTTCTGTGGGAGTCTTCCCCCATCTCAGCAGTCTCCCAAGCTGTCAGTTCTGGAAGAAGGGTCCTGGGAGGTGTTCAAAGCGGTCCCTAAGAAAGGGGGTCTGTGGGGCCGGCCGAGTGGCTCAGTTGGTTAAGAGTTAGCTTAAGAGCGCAAGCTCTGAGCAACAGGGCCACCGGTTCGATTCCCACATGGGACAGTGACACTGCACCCGAGCTGAGCTGTCACTGAGCTGCCATCAGGTGGGAGGATGGCTCAGCTGGTGTAACAACAAGATTCCCTGTTCGATGGTGGGCTACGCCCACCTGCAACTAAGACTGAACTCAGCACCTTGAGCTGAGCTGCCGCCCGGATGGCTCAGTGGATAGGGCATGCACTCTTAACAACAAGGCTGCTGGTTCAACTCCCGCATGGGATGGTGGCTATACCCACCTGCAACTAAGATTGAACAGAGCACCTTGAGCTTAGAGGCCACGAGCTGCTGACGGGAAGCCAGATGGCGACTGGCACCCCCCACAATGAAGATTGATGAACAACAACTTGGCTGGTCACTTTCTCTAGTTCCCCAACACTGTTCCCCTCCCCCAATTCCCCAATAAAATCTTTAAAAAACAGGGGGGGGTCTGTGAAGAAACTTGCATATTAGCATATTAAAGGACCTGATTAGTCCTGCATGAGTGAAGCTATTTCACTTTGTTTAACCCCCTGTTCCCCAAATATGTGAAAACCTGGAACCCTGTCTTGGCTGAGCTCTGGTTAACATCTTACAGAGCTCATATCTCAAAATACACAGTTGGGGAACACCACCTAAACCTCTATCTCCCCAGACTGCTGGGGAGTTCAGTTGAATTCTGATTCTAAAATTGCAAAACTCTTGAGGCCTCAAGGGTCTTGCTTTGGCCAGCCTGGGCCAAGAGGGCAGCTGTGCACCTGCCAGGCCCACCCCACACCAGTCCATCACCAGCCATCACACCCACGCCTCCCCGGGGGCAGCTGGGTCCTGAAAAGCCGGAGGTGGGCAGTCTGACGCAGGCCCTCTGGTTGGTCATTCCCACAGATACCAAACTGGGGCCTGAGGCCTTCTGGTTCAACTCTGGCCGAGAGGCAGTGGCCACACAGCTGAGCGAGAGCTACTACATCCTGCGGCCTGAGGTGGTGGAAAGCTACATGTACTTGTGGCGGCAGACCCACAACCCCATCTACAGGGAGTGGGGTTGGGAAGTGGTGATGGTGAGTGGGCCGGACCATGGGACGGGGAGGTGGGGAGGCTCGACCTGGTGGCAGAGGCCCCTGAGAAGTCACAGTCAGGGTCCAAAACCCCCCAGCTCAGGCACCGAGAGGAATATCAAGCCAGGCTGACCTCTGGCTAAAGTTCAGAACGTAAAGGGTCAAGGTTGTGGTTGCAGAGCCAGGAGTCCACAGCTGGGCAGAATCAAGCCAGGAACTTGAAGAGAAGGTGCGGAGGCCCATAGCCCTGGGGGCCTAGCCCTGGTGCCCGCAAGCTGAGAGGGGCAAAGGCAGTGCAGCGGCCAGAGGGGTCCCAGAGCACAGGTGGTAACTGCTTTCTGACCTTGAAGCCTGGACTGATAGCTTTAGCTTTCTCCTCTCAAACAGGAACAGGTGCCAGGCCAGCAGCTCACCTCCCTCCTCTCCCCAAAGCCAGCCCAGCCCCTTGTGGCCCCCAACCCTCTCTGGGCTCTGCTCCACCCACCCCACAACCCCCAGTCTCTCCTCCATTATCCCTCTTTTCCCCAAATACCGAGTGGGAAATCTCATGGCCCACATTGGGGTGGGTGTCAAAGGTGTGGGGACTCTGGAAGGATCCCTGATGGATGCTGAGCTTTCTCGGTCCTTCCCCCGACCTTCCCCAGCCCACTGCTTTCAGAGGCACACACTCCTTGGGAGAGCCGCTCCCTGAGTGTCACACTCGGGTGGGCTACAGGGGCCTGCTCAGGTTCGCTGACAGGGTTCACTGGTGAGAGCCCCCTGCTTCCCTGAGGTCTGGCTTGTGAACACTGAAGGCCAAGTGTTTTGTGCTCCTGGGCCCCACCTGCACACCCTCAGAAGGTAAAAAATGCATTTTATACGAAAGGCAGACAGCCCATGGCCCACCCACCTCTGGCCCAGGGACCATGTCTCCATGGGGAATCCTGGGATATGACAAGTCCCAGATTTCAGCCCTCAAACATCACCAGTGCCTTCCTCTGTCCCCACCATGGGTGAATGTCATCAGTTTGTTCCCTGAAAGGCAAAGAGAGGCTTCCTCTAAGCTCCCACCAGATGGAGAGCTCAGGTCGCAGCCTACTGGGACTAAGCCCTCGGTGGCGGGCCCCTCCAGCCTGGCAGCAGGATGCTGAACCCTGAGAATAATTTGGCTGAACCCTGAGAATAAACACCAGGGGTCCCTAGCCAAGGGGTTGCCTGTATGCGAGCTCTGGCCCGCTGCGCAGTCACGAGTCTTGGGGGCCTCTCCGCTCCACACGCCAAGGCCGCCTTCCTTTTCTTCAGGCCTTGGAGAAACACTGTCGGACGGAAGCCGGCTTCTCGGGGATCCAAGACGTGTATAGCAGCATTCCCAACCACGACAACAAGCAGCAGACCTTCTTTCTAGCGGAGACACTAAAGTGAGTCGGGGCTTGGTCAGCGCTCTTTCCAGTGGGCAGGGCGGCTTCTCTTAGGGATGGGGGAGGGGTCCGCAGTCGGTCCTTTCATCAACAGTCAGGGTCTGCTGTTACAGGAAGGGGGCCCAGGAGGGAGGGGGCGCTTTAGATCCAGAGTGTGACACCCCCAGGACGAGCCTTGGGCCAGGCCGGTTTCTCCACTCAGGGTGAGACTGGCTTGGACTCCACCATCCAAAGTATCAACTGTGTGATAAGTTCGGTTCTATCACTTGTCTCCTCAGGTTACTTAAGTTCTCTGAAACTATGTTCTTTTCTGTAAAATGAGAATAATAATAAGGATGATGGCGTTGATACTGGTCACTGCTGGTGACTTCCCGTCCTCCTTCGCTTTCTTGGGGTTGAACTTGGCCACCCCACTTCCTTGCTGTTTCCCATGGGAATCCCCCTGTGCTTTAACCCTGTAGGATGGGCTGGGATGGTCTATTCCTTCTAGTGAAAAGCCCCCTGGCTTGGGAACCTGGAGCTCTGGAGTCACCCTTCCTGCTCATGTTAGTGCCCTAATATCTACTTTATAGTCTCAGGGGTGGGGGCTCATAAGGGAGCCAACCTTATGGGAGTTTGGACTGATGCAGTACTCAGACCACCCTGCAAAGAAAGGAGACTCTTGGCCATAATGGGCCCTGGAAGGACTCACACACAGGGCCCGGTGGGGAAAGTGAGGCTGTTGGGTAGGAGGTGACAGAGTGAGGGCTGGGGGCAGAGGCAGGACTAAGCCAGGCCCCCAAGCCCAGTGCTCATCTCAGCATCCACAGCGTCTTCCCTGGGACCAGCCCTCCAGGCGGATTTGGGGGCTTGGACCACCCTGTACCCTTAGCCACAGGCCAGTTGCAGAGGCCCCTGAGATTCCTTCCCAGCCCCCCCCCCACCGCCCTCCCCCCAGTTCCCCAGAGCACTGACGGGCGGTCTCTTGCTTCCCTCCCTGTCTGGGGGCACAGGTATCTCTACCTTTTGTTCTCTGAAGATGACACGCTCTCCCTGGAAGACTGGGTATTCAACACGGAGGCCCACCCTCTGCCCGTGAACCACTCGGACAGCGCCATCAGGGCGGAGGACCAGCTCTGACCCCACCTCCTGGCCACTCCCCTGGCCGCTGCAAGGACGCCTGGCCTTTTCGGGTTTGGGGACTGTTCTCAAAAGGACTGAGGACGTGGGCCCCATTTCAGGCGGATGTGCCCGACGAGCAACTTCTTTTCCTCTGTGAGGAGACAGGACTTAGCGACGCTGCGATGGCACACCAGGCCCAGACTTCATTTCTAGGGAGAATTTCTGTGAAACCCACTCACTTGCCATTCCAGGGCCAAAGGACCAGATGTTTGCTGATCAACCCCATGTATTTGGTTCACTGCCTTTCATTTTGGGGGCATTTTTGGTTTTGCTTGATTTTGCCTTTTCTCTACAGTTGTGTTTAATCATAAATTATAAATATAGTTTTCAAAATCATATGCTTTCAAAAACGGTATCATCCTGATCAACTGAACCTTAAAGGATTTGCACCCATACAAAACCTTGACCTTATTTTCTATATTTTAAATGCCTTTGCCCACCATTTACTATATGTTCAACTGTGTGTCATGTACCTTATAATTTGAGGAGAGGGTTCCCCTATGATTTGGGCCTAAATGTTACGAATCACTAGTGCTATTTTCATTATTGTAATGGAAAAATCTGTACACTTACAATAAAAGAGTTTATTGCATAAGAAATACGATTGACTTCACCAATGACTCCTGGGGAAAATCATCGCAGTGTTACCATCAGAAAGAATAATCAACCAGCTGTTGATTAAGGTAGAATTTAGTAAATGACTCCAACCTCTGTTACCCTCCCTTAAATTGGGCCTAATATATTCAGGAAGGGTGAGGCCAATCCTTTTAAATGAGTTGGATATTTATACTGAGGTCGAGGCTTGGAAGAGGCCCAGAGAGAGACCGCCATGTGCCTGAAGTCACTCAGCCAACAGAAGCAGAGGTGAGCCCATTCCCGTGATCAGCTGACCATCCCAGTCCTGTGTTCATCTGTTCCATCATTCAACAGATGACTTGGTGAACGCCTACAGGGACCAGACTAGGCTAGATGCCAGGGACACAGCTAGAGCGAGACAGTCATGAGCCCTGTCCTCAAGGAGGGTACAGTCAAGGGCAGGAGATACAGACAGTAAAGTAGGGAGACAAGCGGGGCCAAGTACTGAGGGCCAAGACCTATCTTGGGGGTCGAGGAGAGCCTCTCTGAGCAGAGGACTTCAAGCTGAGACCTGGAAGATAAGGAGGAGCAGTGAGATGAGCACCCCACATATGTGCTCTCCCCGTGACCATCCCCTGCTCCCCTGGGAGGCAGCCTGAACCACTGAGGCCCATCTGCAGAGCAAGGAGTTAAGGTCCCAACAGTGAGGTGAGCGCTTTTCCTCCCCTCACCCCTCACCCCTTTGCAGCTTATCCACACGACTAACTTCACAGGATAATTTTGAGCCCCTCCCCAGGCTTAGCCGCTTCATTTTGGCTCTGTTGTAAACTTGAATAGCCCCTGGGGTGTTGGGGCCCTGGCTTTAAACCCCCTCCCTGGGAACCTGGGCAGGTGACCTCACCTCTCTGGGCCACTCTTCCATCAAGCGGAGGGAAGACCCTCCACCCCACAAGGTTGCTGTCAGAGTAAGTGGGGTCCTGCCAGTGCCCTGGGGGCGTGGGAAGTGTTCTTCCTTGTTCTGAAGAACAAGAACGCAGGTGCTTCCAGCATCTTCTTAAGCAGTAGTCAGCACTATGGGTGAGCTATCCCTGAAACAGGAGCCCTGGCATTTGGTAAATGAGTCACTGCTTGAACCTAACAAATCACTTCACCCCTGACAGGTGTCAAGAAAATTGGTTCTGGCCACTCAACCTGCACCCATTTAAAAAATGACAGGAAAACAGAAAAACTCATTACACAAACATGTAGAGGGGGTAGGAAATAAAGATAAGCAGAAAGAAAAATCATTCACCATCCAACCCTCCAGAATGAATGCTGTTATATTTTCTTTTAGATCTTTTTCTATAAATGTACAGAAGCCATTTTGCAAACATGGTATTGTACTGTGCATCCTGTTTTATTATCTGCTTCTGTACTAAACTATACCTTATGAACATCTTTCCACGTCAACAAACACCCATTTACCTCATGGCTGTACCTGGTTGCATAGTATTCCATCGTGTGCTGCATCATGCTTTCTGGATCTAAGCTCTATTGCTGGGCATTTGGGTTTGCGTCACTTTGAGTTCTTAGCTACAAATAATAGACACTAACTCTGCCTGACTTAAGCAAAAAAAAAAAGTATGCATTGAAATGTCTTAGAGTGGCTCATGAAATCTCAAGAGAGTGAACAGCCAGACCTCAAGAAAGACTAGAAAGAGGGTTTGGCCAGGCGGCAAGAACCAGGGGGGCAGCCTCCCCACCACCACCAGGACCCACGAGCCCAAACGTTTCCAGACCCTACTGTCTTCCTTCAGGGACACAAGCTTCCAATTGGCCTTGCCTGGGTCACGAGCCCCCAACCAAGGGAGGGTGGGGCATCTTGACTAGAGGAAAAACAAGGTTTGCTACCAAAACAATAGACCTGCCTGCTGGCTAGGCAAACACAGCAGGACCGTTCGCAGGTTTTGCTTTGATATTTTCCAGTATTGTAAAGAGAGTTATGAGAGCGCACTTGACCATTCCTCTTCCCCTCTTGTCCCTGGAATGTCTCGCCACTACAAAGTCACTGCGAAGTTCTACAAGGCTGCAGGCTCCCCCGCTGGGCCTATGTCACTGTCCTCTCCTCCCCCAGCATCTTGTCTTCTGTGTTATCCCTGGGAGCAAGTTGTAAAAATGAATTATGTTAAAATTCATCCTCCAGGAGGGCCCTTGCAGGTAGAAGAAATACCATCCTTTAGGCAACTTCACTCCATTCCAGGGATAAAGATAAGGAAGACTCAAGGTGAGCTGAGAGGAGAGAGGAATTAAAGGACGGGCCAACCTCGCTAAAGGAGGAGCCCCAGAATCCAAGCTCAGGAACCAGGCCCTGAGCAGAACCCCCTTCCCAGCTGGGGTCTGCGCGCCACTGCGCTCATTTAAGCCTTGTCTTTGCCCACGCTGCGATGGAACCGCCTTTTGCACCTGTTTTCTTCATAGAACAGCTTGATGTTGGTTCCTTCCCAGAAAGCTTCGCTAGCACCTGGCTCCAGGCACTGAGGCCTGCACAGCATCACACCCCTGGGGGTGGGGTGGGGGGAGGAGGTTATCCAGCCCTTTTCCAGATGCCTCCCTTTAAATGACTGTGTGTTTGTTCAGACTGGCTTCGTGCCCTGCTTTGTATCTTTGGCGATGTGCAAAGTTCAAAAGCCAAATGCATTGGAAAGAAAAGCAAAAATCGAAAATCTGATTTAAAGGCAGCATCCTTGAGATCCAGGATGTGATTCACGGCTCTGTTCCCTTTGCTTTGGAAGGTGACTCCTTGTGGTCTGGGAAGGTGCTAAAGATGGGGAATGGGCCAGCTCCTCCTCGCTTACCCCAGGTTAGGGTTGGGGGGTGTCTGTCCTTGGAAATATGCTCATTGACCATGTGGCACAGAGATGCTCAGCCCTCTATGACTAATGCTTAATCACACACTGCTGGGGGGAGGGTGCTACGCTTTTTTTTGTATCTAAAAATATCTGTTTGGTTTCTTATATTTGGGATGATGTTTCAATCTCGCTCATTCTATCTCTTAAGTCAGAGCTTCTTGAACTTGAACGTGTACCTGAACCACCTGGGGATCTTGTTGAAATGCAGGTTTATATTCAGTGGGTCTGGCGTGGAGCCCAAGATTCTGAATTTCTAACAACCTCCCAGGAGATGCTGATGCAGCCTGTCCTCGGACCACACTTTGAGTAGCAAGGCTGCCCCTTCGGTTTCTGCCTTTCTTTTCTTTGGATCCCTGGAATTGTAGCCTCTCCAGAGTAGAGGGACTCAGGTTTGGGGTGGCATCTATAGGTACTTTTGGCTGCAGAGGAAGCTACCTGGAAACAGTTGTGTCTGTTACCTATGCTAGCAGCTCCCGCTCCTCCGGGGCAGTCAGGATAAAAAGGAACAGGTTCGTTGGTGGCTTGGAACAACTCTGTCCCATAGAATTTTCTGCGATCATGGAAATGTTCCATTATCTGTGCTTTCCAATAGGGTAGCCACGTGTGGGTGGAGTCCTTAAAGTGTGGCAAGTGTGACTGAGGAACTACATTTTTAATTGTATTTCATCTTAATTAAATATAAATAGCCGTGTGTGGTTATTGGTCGCCATTTTGGATAGTGCAGTCTTAAAACTTAGAAAGCCTGTCCTCTGTTCACCGACTTCTGACACTCCACCAACTGCATCATTACAAAAATAATCTTAGTACAAAACATGTTGTTTGGGGACTCAAGGATTCCCTTGAACACACCTGGTTATTTTTATACTCATTCCAGCCGCTGACTGTTTTTTGCAAAAGCCTCTGTTTTTTATTTTGTTGTTTGGGTTTTTTTCTCACTCGCCGTTTATCTGCAGATCGCTGTGCATTAGTTCAGGTTTAGGATAAGAAAGGCAGAGTGGCAGGACAGAAGAGGACAAGCACAAGCTAAAATGAGGTAGACCTGGGTTCAGCTCTACCCTGCTCTTTCCCTAGGCTGTGTGACCTTGGATAATCCTCTTAATCTCTCTGAGCTGCTGCTTCACCTGTGGAAAGGGAGGGTGACTTCAAGGGTTAATTGAACTCCCCAGTGTAGGAACTCAATATATAGCATGAGGATTCTTATTGTTATTATGTGAATGCTCTTTGTAAACTATAAAACCTTGTGTAAATGTGAGGCAAAACACAGCTGTCAAAAATTCTTTAAAACAAATGCTCTGAAACTTGGAGGAAACTGCGTCAACCAGGCCCAGGAGACAGACCAAACTCTCAAAGCAATAAATCTAAACATTTTCTGCCTTTCGCAGTGAGCAAGCATCTTGCCATAAGCCCTGAATCTATGAAATTGGGAAATTGGGAGGAACATTTGTTGACTGTCCAAGGGCTTCCAGGGGCCAGTGTGGTCTTGAGAGATGCTCAGGCAGGGGCGGAGGGTTGAAGGTAGATGCTGAGAGCTTGATCAGGAATCTGGCAGAGATGAGTCTCTGCTTTGGGGGTGGTGTTTGAGGTCCAATTTGTATTTCTTCTTCACAGAGTCCTGATGGATGAAGTCTGCAGGCAAAAATTTACAGAGGAGGAAACTGACGCCCAGAGAGTCCTGCTCAACCCTAACAGCTCTACAGAGGCCCAGAGCTGACATCTCCTCAGAGCTGGTCCCAAGGTTGATCCTTTTCCCAGAGGCTCCCTGACCTGAGTCAAATCTTGCAAACCCACCCAGCCCCCATACCCTGCTGAGCTCTGAGAGATAACCTTCCCAACAACACATCTCTCCAGCCCTGGGCCCAGAGTGGGGTGTCTGTGTCTTTAACAAAAAGCAAGTGTAATAAATAAAAGTAATCTGGTAAAGAAAACTTCCCTCATTTATTTTCCAAGGGCCTCGGCTCATAAATCTTTCCCTCCTAACCTGCTTTGTGCTCTGTTAGCTTTGCTTCCTGATAGAACAGAATTTGCTTTTCTAATGGCATCTGCCGTATGCTGGGTGTCCCCAAACATTAGCGGTAATGAGTTGGAAGTAGCACAGTTGGAAGCCTTTGGAAGGCAACACCAGATGTCAGGCCCTCAGTGGGTGCCTCTGAGGATGTGGGGCCAGAGGACTGGGCAAGGGCTGGGTCCAAGGTCCCCAACTCCTGGTTCCTAGCAGTCGTTCATCCAAAAGACACTGACTTCCCACCATGTGCCAGGTCCTGTGTGGGAGCTGGGAAGATACCCCCCCACACACACACGTGGCATAGTCATGGCTGGTTATCCATGAAGGACAGAGTGGTGGTAGAGGCAAGCCCCTGCCCCCACAAAGTCAGCAGGGCCATCCCCCTGGAGGCAGCATGGCAAGAGATTTGGACTCAGATAAACTTGGGTGCAGGAGCTCAGACTCCTTAATTTAAAATCAAGGCAAACAATCCTCACTGGGTGGCCCAAGAACAAAATGAGATCACGTAAAGCCCCCTACACCAAGTCCAGCACACAGTGAGTGCTCAGTACCTGTTAAATCCCTCTGACATCCCAAACCTGACAGGAGCACAAGCATGGGGTTGGCGGTGATCTCCAGGGATGGCACGGCCTGTCTCCTGGGCTCAGGGTTCTTGTCCAGAGACTTCAGTAGCTGCTGCCCTCTCCTGGGAAAGTGCAGACAGAGCCTCCCTGGGCTCTTGGGAAGCTTGATATAATGGAAGAGCACTCCAGTGGAACCAAGGTTCCCGGAGACTTGACAGACATGAAACTATTTCCTCAAGTTCCATCCGCCTCCATTCCCAGTCTTCCAGCAAGCATGCCAAATGTTGTTCTCTGGAAAAATCACTCCTATGGCCATGCCAGGCCCAGCAGAGCAGAGGGCGGCCAGTGACTCACAGCCCAGCCCCGCCAGCCTGCATATTCCCTCCTCACCACAACCCACAGAAGGGCCTCTTTTGACTCCTTGCAGGTGAGGGTTTCAGCCTACACCAAATATGTGTGCCTTGAACAGGTGGCTCTCCATCCCTGATGAATCTGCAGAGGTGACCTTCCAGCTGGACCATGAAAGGAATGGGCCTTGAACTTTGCAATTTTTCTTTAGCTGACTGAAGACATTTTAGAAGCAGGTGGGATAAGGGTGGATGGAGGTTGGGGTACTCATCGGTGGCTGGAGGGCCAGCAGTGCCCTCTTCTGGCCTCCCTTTACATCTGCCAGCAGAGGCGGACACGAGGACTGGTGGCCCAGGACCCCACTCCCGGGCTAGCTCCAGGATGTGCGGATCCTCCCACCCGCTGCCCCAGCCCGTTTCTTCTCCTGGTCCTCAGCCTGGAATTGCTCCCTGCCTCTGCCAGCAAGATGGGAAGTGGAGGCCTGGTTTCGGTTTGGGAAACTGAAGTGCAGGAAGGAGGAACCGAGCTGGCAGGGATGGCAGGGAGTCCTGGCATACCTTTACCGACTCGCACAGCACCTACTGACGCCACTGTGCGCCCAAACACTGCGCAAGGCGCTGGAAGAGGCGTGTGACGGCGGCAGACAACCCTTTGGGCCTCGGCCCCAAAGCCCGGGCCAGCCCCGCCTCGCCCCGCCCCGCCGCCTGGGCCCGCCCCGTC